TTTGTATGATTTGAGGGGAACAACGTGTTATTTTTGCCACAAGACGGGGCATGTAAAGTTGGCTACTGGAAAGTAAAAGCTAAGATTTTCTGGGGTTTGTCAGTATGACTAATGCTTTTTTTTGTCTGTAAAATGCTGCACCAGGAAGTGAAGCTTGTGACAAATTGACATAATTAATGTATTTAGAGTGGTGCATATTGGAACATGTAAGATTTTGGGAGTTTTACATTTGTAGATGAAATAACTCCATTTTTATCTCGTAAACAGGCCAAGCATTGAGCTTAAGAGATACAGGGTTGGCTCAATCCCTGATGTTTGCGAAGGACATGAATTTCTCTCCAGAAATTTCACCAAATAAAAATGTACTCATGCAGGTGCTAATAGAAATCAGTTACCTGCTCCACTCTGCAGAGCAAATTTAAACTGTGCTTGAGTCGTTGGTTATGTTATTTTAGATGAGGCATCAGAATTTCCTATTAATTATAATGACCTTATAGTTAGAAAAAAATTCAGATGTATCTCCAAAATTGGTTAAAGATCAGGATGTATCGGCAAGATTAATGGATATTGAAAAATATATGCCTGCCTTTGAATTTGCTGTAAAGAGTGATAGTTTGCTTCAAGGTGTGAAATGCCGATCTTTGATTGCTCGAGAAGGTAACAGTGGACTGCCTTCTCGAACTGCTGCACTTTATGTGTGAGGGTACATCCACAGTGCTATTGAGAAGGAAGTTCCAGGATTTTGACCCAGTGACACTGAAGGAACAATGATATAGTTCCAAGTCAGATGGTATGTGAGTTGGTGGGGAACCCGCAGGTAATGGTGTGCCCATATATCTGCTACCGCTGTCCTTCTAGGATGGAGAGGTCATGATTTTGGAAGTTGCTTTTGAAGAAATCCTGATGAGTTTCTGCAGTGCATTTCTGCAGATGGCACACACCGTGCTTCAATGGTGGAGAGAGTAAATCTTGAAGGCAGGTAACTGGATTAACAGCACAGAGTTGAAGAGAGCTCGAAATGATTTGGTGCTGTCTGAATTAAATCTGCCTCCAGGTCCTAAGTTATGAGGACAAATTGGAATGTTGGAACATTAATACTTCAGCATAACAAAGCAAGTGATCATGCAAGAAAGGGGTTCAACAAGGTCATGCCGAATGGAGAAAAGAAATTTTAAAAATCTGTGAACTTGCTAGGTGAGAGCATCAGGATTTTTTAACTGATCATTAATGTGACTTTCTACAAGATTCTTAAAGCAGTAAAGGAAAACTGTACTCCTACTTTAAAGCAGGTGGTGAACGATTCCATTCTTTATCTGGGGTGATCCTTTATTTATCAACTTGAACAATAAAATGCTGATAGTCTTGAAAAATAAGAGAGCTCCAGAGTTGAAACCTGAATAAAGTGATTCACAGACTGATTCTAAAGAAGGAAAAAAGGCCATACAAAAGCCACATGAGGAGTTGTGTCAGAGGATTTTATCTTGATTTACAGCTTACACCGAATGGAATTTGAAAATCACAGGGATTGTTAGCAAATAACTGTGTTTCTTGTCATAGCTACCCAGACTGAACCAATTGTGTTATCTTTTAACCAAGGGCATCAAAACACTTGAAATTTATTTGACATGAGAAAGGAGATTTACTACGATGCACAGCGGAAAGAGGAGCCAGCAGCTGCAGAATGAACTGTCCGTTGGAAAAGAGACTGCACTCTAAAGATCCACATTAGTTGAACTTGGACTCCTAACAATTACCTGCTTTTGATTCATACAGGTTAAATGTTATGAAGATACCAAGACGAGATATTTAATGGAAAATGTGATAGCATTGTATAGGTGGGGTGGGTGGGGGTTAGCCAGTGACAAGATTATTTATAGTGTATGTCATCAGTTAGTGGCCATTCTTTACAATGTTATATTTTGGACAGTGTTTTTGATAAAATCTTAACTTTTTATCTTTTAGAGGTGCAGTGCTACAAAAGCAAATTTCTGTCCTCTCTTTAAAGTAAAACGGAGGAATGGACAGGATCATGTGATGTGTTCCGAATGCTAACTGGCAACAAATGTGAATGCTTGGTTGTTCAAAGTTAAAAGGAGAACCCATCTCTTACTAAATGGGAGGTGCACAATCTTCAAACTTGCAAACTTGCAAACAATGGTCAGACCAGCAGTGCTGGTGAACAGACTGTAGTCTGTAATTCTCAGGGATGTGTTGGCAATGTCAGGTTTCATCCAAAAGTATACTTTAAACCACTAAATAATTTCAAAATTGAATAGAGTTGGGAGTGAGGAGGATAGCAAATTAGCTTTTTCACCTGGGCTCCATTCCGATCTGGATTCACAATGCTACAGACATGTGCTTTGAGGGGGGAAGAGATCATGGGAAGTCATTGTAGAATTAAGCAGTTTGAAAAATGTCATTATAGCATCAGCCTGGAAGAACAAGAGAGAGTGAGAGCAAGTCTCTATTGTTCACTACACAGAATATGATGGGAGCTTGCCCTTGGAATAAAAAGGCCATGTTCATGAGGGCTTCAATGAAGGTTCTCTTAGCTTTGCCTAGAGGGAGGATCAATCCTTTACTGCGAAAGTCAGTTTCGGGGCATAGAAGTTAACTGGTGGGAAAATGCAAGGAGCGCCAAGAATGGCTTTGCACTGATTCCTAGGATATGACATATACAATTAAGAAACAAAGTGAAGTAGAATTATGAGATAACAAGGTACAGAGCTGGATGAACACAGCAGGCCAAGCAGCATCAGAGGAGCAGGAAAGCTGACGTTTTGGGCCTAGACCCTTCTTCAGAAATGGGGGAGGGGAAGGGGGTTCTGAAATAAATAGGGAGAGAGGGGGAGGCGGATAGAAGATGGATAGAGGAGAAGATAGATGGAGAGGAGACAGACAGGTCAAAGAGGTGGGGATGGAGCCAGTAAAGGTGAGCGTAGGTGGGGAGTTAGGGAAGGGATTTCACCTGCACATCTGCTAATGTGGTATACTGTATCCGCTGTTCCCGTTGTGGCCTCCTCTACATCGGGGAAACCAAGCGGAGGCTTGGGGACTGCTTTGCGGAACACCTATGCTCGGTTCACACTAAACAACTCTACCTCCCAGTCGCGAACCATTTCAACTCCCCCTCTCATTCCTCAGATGACATGTCCATCCTGGGCCTCCTGCAGTGCCACAATGATGCCACCCGAAGGTTGCAGGAACAGCACCTCATATTTCACTTGGGAACCCTGCAGCCCAATGGTATCAATGTGGACTTCACAAGCTTCAAAACCTCCCCTCCCCCTACCGCATCCCAAAACCAGCCCATCTTGTCCCCGCCTCCCTAACCTGTCCTTCCTCCCACCTATCCCCTCCTCCCACCTCAGGCCCCACTCCCATCTCCTACCTACTAACCTCATCCCGCCCCCTTGACCTGTCCGTCCTCCCTGGACTGACCTATCCCCTCCCTAACTCCCCACCTACACTCACCTTTACTGGCTCCATCCCCGCCTCTTTGACCTGTCTGTCTCCTCTCCACCTATCTTCTCCTCTATCCATCTTCTATCTGCCCCATCCCCTCCCTCCCTATTTATTTCAGAACCCCCTTCCCCTCCCCCATCTCTGAAGAAGGGTCTAGGCCCGAAACATCAGATTTCATGCTCCTCTGATGCTGCTTGGCCTGCTGTGTTCATTCAGCTCTGCACCTTGTTATCTCAGATTCTCCAGCATCTGCAGTTCCTATTATCTCTGAAGTAGAATTATGTAAGGAGGATTTACTGATTTAAAAGTGAAATGAGGTACTTTTTCTGTAGTTTAGAATATAAGTTACCTACCAAATTTGTGTTTAGTCAATGTTACCAATAGTTTATTTGTCACAGTAAATTTCTTAAAACTTGAAATCTTGATCTGTGATCCCTTCAGTTATTTACTTGGAAGCTTGAATTTCTTTTTACAAGTTAGGAGTCTTTATGGGGTTCTTGACAACTATCAGAGAAAGATAATCCAAATGATGCTGGGGTTAACTAATTCAAACTTGTGGAGACTCAACTTGTTTTTTTTTAAGAAAATAAGCAGCAAGTCCCATTGTGCACCTTGTTTACACTTGATAGTCGGAAAATCCCAAAGTGTTGCAATGCTATCATTGCATTCAATAAATGCTAAAATGTAATTGCTTAGCACTTAGCTTTCAAGAGGTTAAATTCACATGACAGCAGAAACTGCAAGCTTCAAATGGGACATCTGAAACACTGTACCTGTGACAGTAAGATTGATTTCCCTATTATCATTCAGAGTTATTGCTGCTACAATTCATTTCAATTCAGCAGATTTCACCTCCATACTAGACTTGTGGATTCTATTCTTGACAGAGGCAGTCAGCTTGACTAAATGCTGACATTGGACTTAGGTTTTTAAAACAGAGATCTTTCAAATCTAGATGCAGTCATGCAAACAGAAGACTAAGGGAAGGAATGGAATGTAAGAGAAAGGAGTTAGAGAATTTGCTTCAAGTAAAATTTCAATGTACGATAACTCACTGAAGTGGGATAGGGTATTTCATTAGTGCAAAAAAATTAAGTTGTATCAATGAAACAAAGTGAATCCAAATACCAGTGTTCTTCTGCATCTTCAACTGATGGCAAATATACATTTTAGTGACTCATATGAAATCCGATCTAGCTAAGCTTTCATTCAGTTGCCTTCAGAGAATGGAGAAATAAATATGTGAGCGAAAGACAAGACGTGTCTGGTCTGAAGTGTAAGGCAATGCCATTGTTACATTTGTTGGTGTACATATTAAATTTAGGGCTGCATCAGTCAACTTCACTGAAAGTACAGCACTTAATAGAATGATTGATGCCTGACAGTGTATTTATAGTTGAAACCACTTGAAAATTTGTTTTCATCATTAGGTAAACCAAATTGGGCTTCATATTTTGAATTTTTTTTTTGTTTATTCTGATTAAAATTAACCAACGCATATGTGTGAACATAGAACATTTTTATAGATAACCTACTGGACTGTGGTGGAAATGGTGTAACGTCGAATACCAGGAGTTGGGAACTGCCTTGAGTTAATGTATGCAACCAACTGCATGGCTTGATTTACAGTGTCGATGTCATCTCCTTCAATAACCAGGACTGACTGGGCAGGATTGAAGTGAAACTAAAAGAAAAGAACAGAATGAAGTTTGATACACAACTTAAGCAAAATTGCTTTAGACTTTTATAGATAAAACTTCCACCTCAACTGTAACAAAATCATTCTTTGCACTGGATTTCATTTATAAGTTCCAAGTGAATTTTGAGTGAATCGATTTAGCAGTAAAATAAATTTATCATAGTGCTCAAATCATTGATCCGAGCATATTTTGAAGTTTAGCGTGCTCAAGAAAGATAAATTTTAAATGCAAAGCAATTTAAAATCAAATTATTTGTCAATATAATTAAGTAATGTTGATCTTTTAGTGCTATCAGCATTCTTTTGCATCAAATTAATTGTACATGCATTAACCTTTAGTGAACAGTGACATAAGTTAATGGAAAATCTTCAATCAACAGAGGTATGAGCCACTATAATCCCTCACCTTGATTTCTTTGCCAAGACTCTCCAAGGAATTAATATCTAAGCCCTCCTTACAAGTCTGCAAGCAGGAGATAACTTTCCGACTTTCAATCTTGCCTGGACGTATAGATAATCCAGCAAGACTACCATGGAAAAACTGGGCAAATCGAGGCTTTACAATTTCCCCACCTAAAAGATAATTTAAAAAAACAAACAATATCTACTCAATGCAAGTACAGTAGTAGCTTTATCTTATTTAATAGCAAGTGTCCTACTGTCCTTGTCATACATAAACAAGCAGAATGGTATTGGTGTCAGAAAGGGATAATTCATATCGTTCCTAAACTTTCTAATTGCAAACATCTATTTCCAAAAATGAATAACTTTCTGCCAATTAGTCACTACCTTCCACTTTAAACTAAATACTCTTATCTTAACTGACGCTCTCAATCCCTTACTTCAACAACTTGAATTGCTGTTTTACAGAGCAGTTGCTGATAAAAGGAAGTTTGGATATTGTCAGTGGTTTTTCTAGAATTATGATTTTTAAAAAAATGTTATTCAAACATTGATGGTTAGTTATTTCTGAACAGTAATTCCTCGCTTAAAGCTGCAAGTGCGTTCCTGAAAAGTGCAACTTTGAGTGAAATAACTTTAAGTGAATCACGTTTTCCCATTACAACCAGTGCAGAAGCTGTAGTTATGTACTATAGGACCATTCCACAGTGAAAAGAAAGTCAAACAATGTGCCCTGTAAGTTGGAACACATTTCTAAATTGACATATTTTGCAATTTAAATTCCTTTTAAATGAATTAAAATCTATGAAAGAAATTCAGCAACTGTTTCAATTTACCCCACCACCCCCCAAGAGACCAACTCTCCCACAAGCTAATTCTCTCCCACTTGTCGTTTCCTGCCGACTCTCTTTTGCTCACAACTTCCTCCCTGAAACCCTATGAGTGTGGACTCAGCAGAGGGGTAACGAGATGGAGGGAGCAAGTGAAAAAGAGAGAGTCGGGGAGGGAAGAGACAAGTGTGAGGGTTGGTGAGTGGGAGAATCTCAAGGGTGGGACAAAGTTTTGGAGGAAATGAGAGAGCAGTTCAGAGAACGGGAAAGAATCTTGGGGAACCAGGAGAGGCTGGTCTAAAATGGCACCAATTGGTAGACACACACTCCGTCAGATCCAGTGTGAAACAACACTAAAGCGAAAGTCTTCATGTTAAATGCACATATTGGCCCTATTGTATCATCATGGTAAATAATGCTGAGGAAGGCAATTTAAAACTGGATACACGCATGTTTGAAATTGTAATACAAACAGTACACACCAAATAAACTAATTTATTAGAAACACACACACAATCTGCTTTATTTCAACAAATAAGGTGTATTAAAAGAATTTGAATATGGCCTGACATGTATACTGTGAATTATATTCACAATACAATGGAAACTATAGTACACACCTTGTTCTGAAGTCCTTGTGACTTTGTTGAAGCTACATTTCAGAGACTAGAGCTAACAGAATATAGAATCTAGTCTGATATTTCTGTGTGATATTAAGGAGTGTGCACTGTTTGATTTGCTGGCAGTCAGATGAAATGAGAAACAAAACTGCTATTCAGTCTCTCAAGTGTGTGCTAAAAGATTCCCATGGCACCACTGGAAGAAGAACAGGGGAGTTCTCCTGGTGCCCTGGCCAACATTTATCCCTCAGAAACAACATCAAAAACAGATTGAGTAATCATTATCCCATTGTGCCTGTAGGACCATGTTTATGTAAATTGGCTCTTGTGATTCCCAACATTACAGCTGTGACTATGCTCCAAAGACACTGCATTGGCAGTGAGTGCTCTAGTCACAAAATGCACTATATTAAGGCAAGCTCTTTAATTATGAGCCAATGCAAGAAATTAGAGAGCAGACTAGACACATCCCAAAGGAAAATAAAAGCAATTGAAAACTGCAATTTTTTCTAACTGGAAGAACCAGCGAGTATGGGAGCAACCACAACAACTGGGAAATCCAACCGGAAACTAATTGCCACCAGAGTTTGTCGGCCACCTTTAGCTGTGGCCAGTTATTACTCACTAGCAGCAGCTGCTTGGGAACAGCCTGGCTGAAGTCTGTAGACATTGCTTCCCATGATGCATTCTTGTGTGTCAGTATATCAAACTGCATATTCCTCATTCCTGTGTCTCACTTCAAACTGCACACATACAGTTCTCCATTCTCTGAGACACTTGGCAGGTTGGACAGAATGTGTACAACCTTGCCTATGGGTTATCAAATCTTGCCATACATAATTGTGTGCTATGTCAGCTTATACACAGAATCCTTGCTGATAGCTGGTGAACTCCTCTGACATACAGTGACCAAAGAGTGAGATTTGATGACTGGGATGCAGCAAGCAGCCCAGGAGTGCTGACTGTAATATATGTATCGGATTATCTCCTCTGGGCCAATCTACATCCTCAATTCATAGTCCAAATCTCCAAATTCTAACTTCCTTTCTGGTGTTTGCTATGACCATTGCAATACGCCTGAGCATGGAATCCGTTGCTAGATGCTCTGATTTGTTGACAGTACTGATATTGAACATCAAAACATTTTGCCAGAACAGGATACCTGCCAGGTCTGTAATAGCTATGACACTAGCGTTTAATCTGCAACATCCCAAGCACATGTTTTACAAGCTTGAAAATTTCCCATTTTCAACATATAATTGAGTCCCATGAATGTTCATTGTTCCATTTCTCTCTTGCATAAAACAAAATTACAAAGATGTTGTTCCTGAATATGGAGACAGAAAGACACTAGAAATACGGAGGCATGTAGCGGAAAGTATTGGAACCTCAAATCTGCTGCAGACTTGATACAAGATGGCTAAGCTGCCAATCAGGTTTTGTAGCAGGCCTCCCATCCAGTTCTGTAAGTCTGTCTGTTTGTCTATTGACACAAACTTCTTAAAGGCATCAGCATTGGGAAAGTTGTTTCAGAGATAGTAGGAACTGCAGATGCTGGAGAATCTGAGATAACAAGGTGTAGAGCTGGATGAACACAGCAGGCCAAGCAGCATCAGAGGAGCAAGAAGGCTGAC